CACTGGAGAGGTCTCAGGAGGTGGAAATCTGCACACTTCCCTGAGTGCCCACCTGACTTCATTTCTAGTGGTGCCATGTCTATTTTTTCTTAAATCTAACCTTTTTTTCCAATTTGGCTTGATTTCCACAGATTTGGTTTCACAGCTCTAGATAAACAGGAGCTTTCACCAATTATAGCCAAGAGCACAAGGCTCAATCAATGACGGCAGCACTAATCCCTTTGAGATTAGCAGTGACTTCCCAAGCTATCGGTGCCATGAAGGTAGCTGACTCTGACTTTAATTGATGTTCACACTGTTTATTCTCTGTGTGTTCTGAGGATGGGTACAATGTCAGAAACGGAGCTTCATGAGCCACAGTTAGTGTAATGTGGTTACATGCCAGGGCAAGCAGTTCACCATATGCACAGAACATTTCTGCATCCTTCTTAAGATAGTATTCCATCCATGTGCTCCCCAGATGTGTGCTGTTATCACGGTAGGTGGAGCATGGGCATTGTGGCGATACAGCCACACAAGATGACCCAGAGAGACTGGGCTGTTCAGGATGAACACATCTGCTGGAAAGCAGTGAAGAACTAGATCATGGGGACAGATTGGCAAGTCCTGGTGGTCATCCTGTGGCTGTCTGAGTGTGATACACACCATCCGCGAGGCCAGACCTCCAGAAGCCACCTCTCCCTGTGCCTCCTTTGTATTGATTTGGACAGAGCAGCAGGAGAGAAAAGCTCTGGAAGGCTCTTTTTCTCCTCTCCACAGCCCCACACCGTATTGTCCTCTGTGCTCTCTATTCTCTCTGAGTGAGAGCAAAACCTGCTTTAAGCTCTCTAGAACTTGATGCAGCTGGAGGAGAGATGTCGATTCCCCAGGAATATGCATTTGTGGCTTGAGTCCAGCTTTTCCATCAAGAAGAAATAAATTTCACTCACCTGCCTGTAGGCGGAATGTCAGACTGCAGGAGTCTGAGTAACATGAAACTCTTTCTTTGCTCATTTCTGCTGAGTCTGCCATGGGTCACAGGCAGCTGCACTGACCACACCTTCATCAAGGGTGCTCTCCTCCTGAACAGGGGCTGCTAAGGCAGTATAACCACCAGAATGGAGCCTGCGCCCTTGTGCCTTTTATGGGCCCATTTCTACGGCGGCTTTATTGTGGCTTTTGCAATGGGGCGAGGCAGGCGCTCGGTTCTAAAGTCCCCTGTCAAGTGACTCAGTGGGTCCCATCCTGGAACTACTTGATGACTAAGGTCCCAGGAGATCCTTGTGGTGAAGCATCTAAGTGTGGAGGAAAGCTGGTCCTTCAAGTCTGGGATCCGAGCTCTTTCAGCCATTGTCTGGACCCCAGGAAGAGGCAAAAGCAGAGAAGAGAAGCCCAGAACTGCATCAAAGAGAATATGGGATGAAAACCCAGTCTGAGGTAATCTGAAGCCAAACAGTAGTATTGACACAAGATCACCCCACTCCTCCCAATCACAGTCGTCTTCAAGCAGTCTGATTGGGTGTCCCTCTCTGATGGGCATTTTTGGCACATAAGAAACACTTGCTGGCTAGCAGCAGCAAAGACCACTGGGAACGCTGCACCTTTGACAGATGTGACTGGGACGGAGAGTGCTGACTTCCACACAGCCGGCAGCTCTCTTGGTTCACTGAGGTCTTGTGGAACAATGAGAGGCCAGGTGTGGGGCCCTGCAGATGCGGCTGGGACCTTCTAGGAGGACTTGGTTTTAAATATCATCAGATGTGGTGCAGTACAGGGTTGGTGGCACTGGGTGAGGAGACAGATGGGTGATTCTTATAAGGTCCCATTCTCCATTCCACTATACATTATCAGGAGGCCAGCACATGCCAAGACCCCAAGGGTCTTGGGGTCCACACTAGGATTAATTCCTTGTTGGGTGTCTGACAGAAATACTTTGTTCTTGCAGCATACAGGCATAATGATGACCATGGGCTCCAAAGTCAGAGAACCCTAGGCTCCAATCTTGCCCCAGATGTGACCAGCAGTAGGGCCATAGGCAAATCAGTAGGCCCTCTAAGCCTCAGTTTCTTCATCTGTAAAATGGGTCTTATAGTGATGGAGAGGCATAGCTGAAGGAATGCTGTGTATGCACTGCTGGCATGGAGCAGGCACTCCATAGCTCAGAGCCACCAATGATGTGATGACTGTTATTGTTGTTACTGCTGCTCATCCTGGGAAGACAGGAGTTGGCTGTGGGAAAGGAATAAATGAGCTTTCCCATGAAACACATGCCTGTAATCCTGACCTCCAGGCAAGGCAAGCTGAAATGTTTTGCAGTGGTACATAGAATCCCTTGGACTCCTTGGTGTCTAAGAACACAGTAACCCAGATCAGCAACCTGCCCTGCCCATCTGGACCTTGCCGGCCAGTGTGTTAGTTAGCTTTCTGTGACTGTAACAAAATACTCGATACACTCAACTTAGAAAAGGTTTATTCTGACTCATGGTTTCAGAGGTCACAAGCTTCAGAGATCATAGGCTCATAGGTTTCAGCCTATGGTCACTTGGCCCAGTGGTTTTGGGCCTGTGCTGCAGTGTCAGAGGAGACAGGAAGGCAATAGAGTCCCAATATCCCCCTCCAGGGCACGCCCCTCAATGACCTAAGCTCCCTCCACCAAGCCCCACTTCCCAGGCATTCTACCATTTCTTCATAGGACCACAGGCTGCCCAACACATGGGCTTCGGGCAGACAGTCAAGATCCAAACTGTAGCACCTATGCAAGGGTGGGAGGTGGGCTGCACAGAGCCTGGCAGGGATGAGAGCCTGTCTTGTCTCAGCACTGCTGTGTCAGCCTGCTGGACAGCAACTCTGGTGGCTGCGACTTCATCAGGAGCGTCTCTGGCAAGGATGATCTCAGCAGTCCTCTGGGCAGCCTCCCCTCTCCTATAGCTCAAACACATGACATACATTTCCCCGGCTGAAACCTAAGACGGTCCTGCTCCTGCTCTGGCTGATGGGTGGAAAAACAGATCCTTCTCCTGTATATGCGTTCTTGATGTATTAGAAAACTGTCACTGCAACTTGCCACAGTGACATTCACTCAAGGCCAAGCATCTCAGTCCTTTTAAACTTGGCCCAGATGTCCCATTTTTCATGATAATCTCTCATTTCCATGGCATTCCCCAGTATTTTCAGATTTTCTCTCAAAGTCTTGCTCTAATAGCCATCTCCTAATCTGTGTCCAAAATGCCATGCCAATTTAAATGATTAGCAAGAACACAAGGAAAGGGAAAATAAGATGTTTAGCGGGGTGGGAGGCAGCTGGAGAGAACTCTGCAGCCTATGTGGGAGGCTGGGAAGTCTTCCCAGAGAGGAAGGAAGCTGGGGACGCCACTGTGAGTTTGGAAGGTAGGAGAGAGAGTGAGAGATGTAAAAGAGGTCTGACCCATCCTCTTGGGCTGCTCCCATCTGGAAGAAAATATCTTAGCACAAGACAGGTTGGTTCTCTGCTTCCCAAAGGAGTTTCCCCGAGGGGAACTCTTAGGAGCTGGGTCCTATCCCCAGCTTTGGGGTAGAGCCAGAGAGTCTACATTTCTAGCAACTTCCCAGGTGCTGCTGAAATTGCAGGTGAGTTCTGTGGCCTTCTGGTGTTCCCAGGCTCAAGTCCTTGTCCTGTCTCTAAGGTCCTATGTGGTCCCTCCCCACCCCCTGCCCACTGGCTTCTGTTCCACTGGCTGCATTTTGGTGGCCACATATTTCTCACTGGGGAGGAGCTTGTGTGTGCTGCTATACTGCCTATAATGCCTGCCTCCGGGTCTGTGTATGAATAATTTTCTTGTACATTTTAGAGTTCCTACAGCTGTCCCTTCTTCAGAAAGGCCACAGCCCACAAGCGGTCCTTCTGTCATCTGTTCCCAAAGCACTGCAACCCCCTTACAGCATTTGTTTTGGTTATAACCAAGTAATAGTTGTGACAATCACACTGTGGGTTAGGACTTCAACGTGAGTTGTGGAGTGGGGCATGTCACAGTTCACCCGTAACACATGGCTCTCTCCAATGTGACTATTTGAAGATTGCATGTATAAAGAAATAATTAAGATTAAATGAAATCTAAGTGTAAGGTCTTAATTTGATAAGCATGGTGTGCATGTGAGAAAAAGAGACACGAGAGACCCTGTTTGTGTGCACACAGTGAGGGCTGTATGAGGACGAAGTGCGAGGTGACCCTCTGTTAGGCAGGAGGAGAGGCCTCACCAGACGCCAACCCTGCTGACACCTCGGTCTTGGACTTGTAGCCTCCAGAACCATGATAGAATAAAATTCTGTTATTTAAACCACTTGCGCTCTATTACAACAAGGTCGTAAATGTCCAGGTCACATGATGGCCCATGAGAGCGTGGGTGAAGAAGGAACAGGGCATCAAGCAAGACTGCAGCTGCAGGGAGTTGGCTCTTCCTCCTCCCTGTATCCCAGTGCCGGGTGCTGCTCAAGACAGAGAGATGTGCCTGGTGTAGCGCTGTCAGTGAAGTGAGCGGAACTGACATGCGTGGAAGCAGCTGGAATGTTGTGCCTGCTCCAGACACCACAGTGAAGCCATTCAGCGTGTGGAGCCTGGAACCAGC